TTCTGACCTTCGTCGCCTACTGTGTTCCATCCTACCTCCATCAATAGACAACGGTCTTTTTGACCCTGGTCTCCTGCCGACTAATGTTCTTCTGACCTTCGTCGCCTACTATGGTCCTTCCAACGTCCATCAACACACAACGGTCTTTTCTGAACCCGGTCTCCTGCCAACTACGGTCCTTCTGACCTCCGTCGCCTACTATGGTCATTCCGACCTCCATCAACAGACAACGACCTTTCTGACCTCGGTCTCCTGCCGACTACGGTCCTTCCGACTTACAACCCCAGACAACGGTCTTTCTAACATCTGTCTCTTGCCGACTATGATCCTTCTGACCTCCATCACCGACAATGACCCTTCCAACCAAACAAACATGTCTATGTTGATTATTGTAACTCCCACCATATAATGCGCTCTATATGACGTACATTGGCTTGCCTTCTCCCTAAGAAGGGCCTCATTTGTAATCGACTGCAAATACTAGTGGATTCATTCAAACTGGGCCAGGCCCCGTGATTTTTTTCCCTTTTCAGGGGTTTTGGAAAAACTCTGGTGTCTCTTATGAATGCTACACCCTCTCTCTTATATGATTGTGTGCTGGATCTTCGTACAATGCTAAGACGTTAAACTATTTATTTCTCTGCCGCCGCTAGTACTCCAGGACGCAACAATAATTAAAAAAGGTGAATTGAGAAATGATTATATTAGTCATAAGAGTGAAATATATTTTTTGAATATAAAATAAAAAACATTAAAAAATAATATTTTGTGATTTGATTATATAGAACGAAGAGTTAAATACACATAACTTATAAGATGAGTATATAAAATTAATATTTAAGAATTAAGCATACAATAGATTCAAAATAATACAAAAATATTTTTATAAAGGAAATTTAATCAACAATTTCTACGAACTGAAACTCATAAATCTAACGTAAAATAGTTAAGACAAAACAGAGTAGAGAAGCAAATAAAAAACCAAAACAAAGAGTACCTTGCAGTCGTTGATGTTCCGCGCCATTAAAGAAAATACCCACCTGTAAAGAACTCTCAAATCAGAAGTATTAGATTGATGAAATAGCCAACAGGATAATAATTCAATAACATAGAGATAGCAACTGACAATATAGCCCATCAGAAAGTCAAGCCGGATCCAGCAAGCCCAGCTAATAAGCAGGTAATACCTCTTCCCCATAACATCTAAAACAACCCGCTGATGTCTAAAACCACAATTACACTTATAGCAATTATTAACTCCGTAGACCTGCAACCTCCCGCACATCACTAACCTACTAAAGTAGTAAATCCCAGAAAACAACGTACTGATGAGCGAAACCCCCCACTTTCTCCACCTACTCCAGCCAAAAACCCATAAGAGAATATACTGCCAGCGGATTAAAAGAAGATTCCCAGCCTTACAATTCCCATTGAACATCCTGTACCAGTCAAAATAAAACTCCAGAATACACGCAAAAACCACACCAGCCAAAAGAGAACCAATACCAGCCAACTGAAACAAAACCAACTCACAGCTCAAAACTCAAACCGAAGGATACCAAAGCATAAATTTAGATATGACGAATGTAAGGTAAACCGATCTTCTCAAGATTAATCACTCCTTTAAGAGGAATAGGCAGCTCATGTACAGGATGCTCACGCATAATATCACTTTGAAAACCAAAATTAGCCAGCCAATCCGCACAAGCATTGCCTTCACGATAAATATGAGAAATAGTAAAGTTGAGCAAAGAGAGAGCAATTTTAATCTTCCTAATAGTGTAAACATTATGAGGGAAACAAACATCTTTCTCGTTAATAATATGAATTACAAGAGTGGAATCCACTTCAATATCCACATTATGTAAACCCATTCTTAAACATAACTGTAAACCATGATCCAAAGCCTTTAATTCAGATGTCAAAACAGAGCAAGAAGGCAGAGGAGCAGAATAAACCGCAATGGGGTTACCGAGGTGATTCCTAATAATTTTACCCATATATACCAGCTTTGCTAATCTTAACAGAGCCGTCAGTATTCAACTTAACAAACGGTATGGAAGGTTTAACCCACCTGACCATACAAACCCTATTGTTTCTAACAAAACTATTCTGAATCCCAAAGTAATCCGCCAGAAGCTTGCTGTTATGAAAATTTTTTCCAGAAATAAGATTCACCTCAATCAACTAAAGAATTTTATGATGCACCAACATTTCTCTTCAAAAACGTATGTAATATATGACACACATAGGACTTGACATGCATCCGACACGTATCAGACTCAACACGCGTCTGACACGTATTGATCCGACTCAACACGCGTCTGACACGCCAGCAACGACATTAAAATTCTTAAATTATTAAGCAAATATATTTACTTAAAAAAGTCAAAATAGTTAAAATACTTATTCTGTCTCATGCAAGAAAGAGATAAGGTGTCCCCATAACAATTCCAAGGCCTATCTCCTTCTATCCCTCTCTTGATATCTCACCTACACTTAGACATTTGTGCAACCCTCGCACTAACCAACAGCTTCACACTAATTATTAATGTTTAATTATAAACAAAGAGATGCTAAGTACATTCATTCACATGGCCACAGTGCCACACTGAACTTACTTAGTTGTTTAAGGAGCAAAAAGTGGTTAATTAATAATAAAAAAATGATGAAAGCCAATTGAGGATTAAAATAAGAGATTTTTCACGGTACCTTTTACAATATTTTAAAATTAGCAAATATTTTATTTTGTGGATGCAGAGAAACTAATTATTTCCCACCATTTGAATAATTAGAGCACATAAATTTGAACTATTATTATATATTATTAAAAATATAACTAACTCTTAAATTTTCATTAGAATTTTTCTTTTAATATTGATTAAAATATTTTATTTATTTTTTAGTTTTGAAAAAATGTGTTTATTGACTAAAATATGGCATGACTTTTAAAAAATAATAAGACGAAATAATTATCTCTTTAGTAACAAATATTCTTAATTAATCACATCATTAATTTCCTATTTTTAAAAAAAGTTTGATTATAAATTAAAAAAGAATAATTACTAATACAATTCTTAATTACTTCATAATTATTTTCTAATTAATTCTCTACAAATAAAGAGATAAGATAGACAAATAAATAATTAAAGAGTATTTGAAAAGCTTGGTTAACGTACAAACGTATAGTTGTACGTGCATGGCTTCATAAGAATATAAAAGAAGCCATGCATTGTTCATGAGTTTATTGCTATGGCCAACAATGGAAGTAGGGGCTAAAGGGTGGCCAATCCATCCTAAATTCCTAATAGCATTCAGGCTTAGAAGTTTTGTCCCATGTAAGTGTAATAAGAAGCTTTTTTTTTTTTTTCTTGTTCTTGATTTCCTTCGTTTGCTCTATTTAGGATATGTTTCCAGTAGCTTTTTCGCTATTTTTTTATACAAGAATCATTATTTTATTTGACTACTATTTTTTTGTTACTTTCAATGAATTTTTTGGAAGAGAAGTTATTTTTTATAAATAGAATATCTAAGTTATTTTCCCACAATAATTTCACAACAAACTTTATAATTCACTGTAGTCATCCCAAGTTGGATGAATTATTCTGTACGGACACCGGAGGGGAGAACCATACGGTTAATTTGTCTCTGTGAACAATAAAAACACAACTCACTATGCTTTTACTGTTCACGGAGCCAAAACCGGACAATTCTTCCCTTCTGGTGTCCTCACAGAATAATCTCTCCCCAAGTAGGCCCTTAGTTGAGTTTACATCTATGAAGTTTAATAACTAGTGGATAATAAACATCTAATACCCAAAAATGAACTAAATGCAGATATTTTGCTTAAAATGGTGATTAAATGTCGAAAATTATGATTAAAATTATAATATATAGTCATAGATTATTTTAAAAATGCGAGTAAATTAAATATAAAATTTTAATTATAATTTTCAATATTTATTATTTAAAGCAGCAAATTAGGCAAACTTTTGAGTTTTAACTCTTCATCAGACATCACATTTATAATAAAAGCATAATTGTTGCAGTTATAACTAAAGACTTTAGCTATGATTTCCTATGATGAACGTGGCTGAAGCTTTGCAACTAAAAGCTCGCTTTAGCCACATTGAAGGATAGAGGGACTATGGAAGCTGTGAAGTAAATATAGTTTACTCTTTAGATAAATTAAAATACAATCAAATACTAAGGCAAACGTATTTAACGTGAAAGATCTTTTTAATTATACGCTCTCAGTTTATTGAATTCATAATCATTTAGAGTCTATTTGGGACAGCTTTCTCAATGCTCTACTTTTCATATATAATTATAATTTCATTTATCTGTTATTTTCTTGCTGCTTTCACGTTATTTTTAAAAATTTTCTGAGATAAGAAGCCACTTTTTACAACTGGAGTCGCTAATGCGTGAAAACTTTAAGTATACAGTTGTTCGATTTTCTTGAAAAGAATATATTTATAATATATATTCACATCAACTTTTAAAAAAAAACTACTTTCCCCATAACAACTTCATAATCAGCTTTAGGGCATCTCCAACCGATAACTTAATTCATTTTTCACGGCAAAGTAATGCAAAACTCCAAAATGGTGTGGTGATGTTCCAATCGAACGCCATTTTAGGTGTTTCTAGGAAGGTAACGATCGCTCTCCCTTTCGCGCATTTTTCCGGTTGAGAGCAGAAAATGGCATGAGTGAACAGTGCGACGCCAATATTGACGTCGCACTGTTCACCTGCAATGAAATGGCGGAAATTTTCGCGTTCGGTTGGAGCGAAGGAAGGACTCCATACGCTCGTTTAGCGTTCGGTTGGAGATGACCTTACAAAACATGGCAGCTTCCCAAAAAAACCGTAGTCTTTTGCTTAAATAAGAAGAAATCATGCAAAATGCTTATGATTTGTAAACTATGTATTGATGTATTAAGAAAAAAAAAAAGATCTTACTATTATACATTTAATCATTTTATTGAAGGGAAAAAATAAACTATCTGTAAAAGTAATTAGGAGCAAACTCATCATTAATTGTTTCCAAATTAAAGACCATATATGTTTCTTGCATGTTCCTTCATAATCTGAGCTCCAAATCTAGTTCTTGCGACTCGTCATAATCTGAGACTTGGCTTAATGATCCTGCCAAATAGCTGTGCTGCTGATGAATTCTTCGCTGCAGCACTGAATCCTGCCAAAGAAATCATATATATACATAAACCTTCATATGGAAAAGAAAAATAGTTCCATCAGCAAAACCTTTTAATTTGAGATGCACTCAATTTATTTATTAAAATTGTGGTATAATATTAAACTTTAGGCTTTTTTTTTAAATAAGCGAACATTTGTTTTAATCATATTTTGGATTATGAAGGGATAAATAGTTTTAAAAATAAGTATGACTTTTGATGAAATGATACAAACTTTTAACCATAATTATTATAGTAATATGATTAATAGGTATTTTTACTCATTATTAAAAAAAAAGTTTACACATAATATGGATCCCAATAATGCAAATTATGAAAATGATCATAGAACAAAACTCTTCTGTGATTGTTAAGATTTTAATTTTTTGTTTTTTTGTACTATAAAGTTATTTTAAAAAACAGTAAGAGAATCATTCCAAACGAAGCTTAAATATATGAGCATCACTAAAACCATTGCAGAATGCTCACAAAGATTGTTTGAGTGACTTTTGAGAGTGTATTTTATGAACCACAATACTCTGTTTTCTATTGCAATAATTTTTAGGTAACCTTTAAAAATTGATTAAGGCACTTATAATGCTATATATGGTGCTTGTTGCCATGGACATTTCATGTGAGAGAAATAATGAAGATTAGGTTGGATTTGAAAAATAATGGCTAGTTTTAAAAGTGGAAATTGGCAAGATTCTTGCCTTTTGCTCACATTGCCCTAATTTTGCATGAGCATTCAACCAATGAATAATGTTTCAAGCTTTACCCCTTCTTGAAGGAATAAGATAAGATTCCTTAGCCTAATGCATGAGATCTTTTTGGCCTTAATGCTAGCAATCTGACTCCAATATGCATATAAGAATAGAGTCTCTGATGAGAGAAGCATAAATGATCAATATTATTACGGTTTCATTTGGGATAACTTTTTTGTTGGTTCTTAAAGCAGCTTTCTAGTACAATGGAAAATTTTTGTACTAAAAAGTTGCTTTGAGAAGTAATAAGAAAGCCGTCCCAAATGAAGCCTATGACAATCACAACTATTTATTTAGAGAATATCGATAAATCACTCAACAATACCTTTATTAATGCTTGTAAGGGGTGTAAATAAGTGGAACGAGATCAAGTGTTGATCAACTAAACAATCTATGCTCAAGTCGAATATGACCGAAAGATGCCTTGTCTAACTTGTCAAATAAATGTTTTTATAGAAACTAGTTGAGCACGAGTTAGTTCACAACCCAAAAGTATTAGAGAAGAAAACTCGATCCCCTCTTCAATGTCAAAATTGAAGACAAATTAACCACCCCTAAAGCCTTTAGTAGAGTAGGTTATAAAAATACGAAGACTTGATTAATTTAAGCCACTTATCCAATTTTTCTATGGTTTTCTTTTGCAAAAGGTCTCCATATGTTTAGACCACTGTAGATGTACCATCACATCTCCTTAAAAAAACTACATAGGACTTCTTTAATTTACCTTCGCAAATTATGGACGAATTTGATTGCAATTACTTCATGAAATTCTAAGCATTAGTTGATATATACAAGCTAGTTAATTCTATTCTTACCTCCATGAGTGCTGGGTGAGTTACAGCCTGAAGATGATTATCTATCTGTGGGATTCTACTAGTGATCTCATGATCTTGTGCTGAAAACCTAGCAAATAAACAAAGCATGAGATAGTTTATCAAAGTTTGGTAAACAAATACAAGCATGTATATATTTAGGCTTCGTTTGATAAGCTTTCTTATTGCTTTATAAAGCTGCTTTTAGTAAAAAATCTATTGAAAGCAAAAAAAAGTTGTGGTCTCAAGCTATTCCAAACAAAATCTTAATCTTAATCTAAAAATTTACCTAGCTTGAGTATACTCTATGTCTCCAAATCTCTTATCTACACTGACTAGATTGTCTCCACATCCCATCTGAAACTTCATCATTAGAACATTAGAAAATAAAATAAAATAAAAGCAAAAAAAAGTTATCTTCCTTCATAATACGCTCTTATAAACTATTTTATGTAAGATAAGATCAATATATAACAGTGATGCTTCATGCTCCAGTCTTCCTTCTCACGTACCATGAAATTCGGATGAACGCTTAAAACTGAACTTGATGATGCACCATTAAACGGGGATGAAGAGGAAGAAGACAATGGAAAGGTTAAAGGTATTTTCATGTCCTCCTCCTGTTAAAGAACATGATGGAGATATATAAAACTACTAGATATCAAACGTATATATATACATATATGGTGCAGATCATTAAAGATCCATCATGAACAGAGATAAGATAAGAGATTTATACAAACCATGGTTAGATTACTATGAAAGGGATGATGAAGCAATTGGAGATTATAACTGGCCATCATCTGACTCTGAATTCTAATCTTTTCAAGTTGAGCCACTCCAAGTCCTCTTTGAGGTTGCCTCAGCGCCTTTTCTACGCTATTCTTCTTCTTTTTCTTTGAAGAAGAGCTAGGTGATCTTCCACTTCCTAGACCAAAGTCTCCATGTTGATTACTCTCCATCTCTTGATCACTAGCTCTATCAAACTTGGAAGTAACTATTACACTATGGCCATGGAAGGAGGGAGGGAGAGAGAGAGAGAGGGAGGGAGGGAGAGAGAGAGAGAGAGAGAGAGAGAGAGAGAGAGAGAGAGAGAGGTGGGGGACAAGCTTGCAAGTGAAATTGATAGATAACCACGACAGGTTTAAAGGGCTGCCCCTTAAAGAAATTATTGCCTTGCTGGATGCTTGCATGATTACAGTTTATTTGAAAGAGATATTAGTTATTTTAATGTACAGTGCCTGGGTGTTTAAATTCTGTACATATAATCAGATACCAATAATATTTGAAGAACTTTTTTTAAGATATGATATATCACAGGTGGGGACTACTTTAATTTCCCTTGGTTTACATATGCTCTTTTACCAACAGAGGGAATTAAAGAAACATGCCATTTTTTGTGAAAACAGAAAGGCATTTATATGAAAAGACACTACCTTTTTTTGTTCAATATAAAATACAATTTAATTCTTTTATTTTTCATAAGATAAAGGCTTCAATTGGGGAGAAATTATTCTGTGCGAAGACCGGAGTCTGAAAACCAACTAGATTATGCCACGTCAACGTTACCGAGTGTTACCGAGTAATACCAAGCCTCGGTACCAAGCACAAGGGTGACTTGGTACATTCTGGTTTGTCTCCGGACGGCGTCCGGCGTCTAGACTGAATAATTAATCCATAATTTTTTTACTACTTTTTAAAGCAGCTTTATACTATAAAATTTTTATTTTTTTACTAAAAAGTCAAGGCCTGACAATTGTGTTTGGTCACATGATAGGGCGAAAATTATTATGAGCGGTCACTGGACGTCGTCTGAAGGCCATTTAAGATGTGCCATATCATCCAATACACATGGGTACACAATGATGATACATAGTGTATTGCTGATGTGACACGTCCTGATTAGCCTATGGATAATGTCCGATAACCGCACGTAATAATTTTGCCCTATCAAGTGAACGACTAGAATTGTCGGGCCTCGAGTACTAATAATATCCTTATTGATTATCATCAACTAATACCTGATCACATTGTCCAGGTCGCACATCCTCTCTTCCTATATATCAACTTACCATATATGTGAAAATTTCAAATGATCTTAAGATATATTTTTTTTATCTAAAATCGAATATTTTAACATATGAATATTTTAACATATAATATATCAAAAATATTTCAAACTAACATTAAGATCACTCATTTAATTAGATGAGATAATAAAATATTTCTTAACGTAAGTGTTCACACCACGGCCACTAGTTGTGGCACATGCTACGTATGCATACGTTTCAACTGCTTATTTATGGAAAATGAATGGTTTCTAATTGCTACTTGCAACATAATTTATATACAATAAGATAAGGTGTAAATGTGAATAATATAAATGAGCTTAAATTTAATATTTTTATTTAATTGATAAATACTCTTTTTTTTATTTTTTTTGTTAAAACTTTAAGAAGGGCCTATGTGTTAATTAAAAAAATTATTTACAAATCTTTAAGGGATCACATGCTCTCTACAGCCAAAAAAGTATGTCCACATCCAAAATAAAGCCTAATGAGCCAATGATCCTACATATTTACAAGAAGCAAATGAAAAAAGATTAGGGAGGCTAGAAGCCAAAAAATAGCTCAAATATTTGATAAGTGCATACTCACACATGTTTATGAAGGTAGCTAGTAGGTATCTAATACGTACGAGTTTAACTAGGAGGTTTGCTAGATCAAAGTGGCAGTTGTAGCCCTATAAAGCAGTAGGAAACAATAACCTGGCCTATGGGCAAATGATCACTCTCCTATGCAAATAACACAACATGTAGACTTACCAAGGGAGATTAGAGTATTAGACCATCGGTGCAATTGTCCTGGACTCACCCAAACAAGTTTACAACAGGAGGATCTCTCACTTGAATAGAACCTAGTCACTTGCAACAGTTGTATATAATCAACACTACGCCCCTATCGCAGACGTTCTTGATCAAGCTTGATGGAACACACACCTTAGAAGCTCATGACCATGATTTCATTGATTGGACTTATCCCTAGTTCATAACCACTTCCACCCAGGTATTGCATAAAATTTCAGCGACTCACGTTGTATTCTTAGAGATTTGTCTTCATAGACTTGTCCTACATGTTAGATTCCAAAGAGTACTCTCCCAAGCAACTCACCCTCAAAGACTTTACAAAGGCATTAGCAGGAGAGAAGGGGCCAAATTATATATGTGTTAACTTGCACATCATCCAACTTATCCATAAATATGTGTTTCAGTCTGTATTGGTCATATTATGTAACATTTTCTGTAGGCCCCTAAAACTTATTAAGAAAAAAGTATAGAGACATATCTTAGACTTTATATCGATTTCATGCCATTGAGATCGAGTATTTATAAACATTATAGCTCTTCACTAACTTTCAATACTCGCTAATTTTTTTCTTAATTCTCTAGCTTTAATCCGCCAAGAACCTATTAGTAAGGTCAAACATAACCTACATATAAATTTAAATCCAACAACTTTTAAACATAATAACAAAAATAAACATTATACATAAGCATCAAATTTTTATAAAGCCAAATCTAAAAATGTTAGTTTTTTTGGACTTCTGAGTCAATAAAGTCAAACTCACACATACATCACATATACAAAATTCAAATAGAAGATCCCTTGGGCTTTGTTCGGGATGGCTTTCTTAATATTTTTTAAAACAGCTTTATAGTACAAAAATTTCTCGTTCAAGAAATTTTTGTACTAGAAACTGCTTTAGAAAACAATAAAAAAAACTATCATACACAAAATCTTAGTTGAAAGCAAAATCTCCCAACTAACAAATCAATATGAGAAGCATAAAAATATTAGTTTTTCACTTTTCTCAATATGTTTGCTAAAAAAAATTAAATTAAGACCTAAGAAAAAAAAAGAGAGGAAGAAGACCTAAACAATTATCAGCCAAATAAAGTAATAAACTACCAGAGTATCAGTGCATTTTCACGTGGCCCTTCCCAGTCCTTCGTGTGAATAAAATCATGAGCGTGTTAAAGCTCGAAAAGGCCATTTATAACTACTACATAAATTATAGTATTGCATCAAGTCAAATAATGTACGTGCGGACAAGTGGGATGTCACACGTGTTGGAAGATTCATCAATTTTTTTTTTTAATATTGTGTAATAAATTATAAAATATTTAATTAAAATTTATGATTTTAATGTTTTTTTTTTGTTTCAAATAGTAGGCATTGATTCTTTCACATATTATTCAAGTTTGTTCATTTATTTTTTTATTGAGTTCTTTATTAATTTCTTATCTTTTTCAAGCTAAAGATAAGATTTACTTGAGGCTAACTGATTGTAGCTTCATTTGGTACAACTTATTGCTTTCTAAAATAAATTTTTAGTGTAAAAATTATTAATTTAAGAAAAATTTCAACTAAAAAATTATTTTAGAAAGCATTAAGAAAACTGTCCCAAATGAAGCCTACATATTTGATGGTAATAATTTATACAATATAACATAATTATTATACATTAATTAAGTGCACTTATTTGTTTATAGTCCTACTTTTCGCCTTTAAATCCTTTTGTGTGGTTCCGCTTTTCGCAATTGGAATCTACTTCGAATCAGCACTGAAAATCTTGGTCTCCTGGTTCGATGCTACACTTAGACTTTGTTTGGGATGGCTTTGCTACTGCTTTTTAAATCCGCTTTTTAGTAGAAAAATTAAAATTTCTGTACTAAAAAGTTGTTTTAAGAAGCAGTAAGAATGCCGTCCCAAACGAACCCTTAGGCTACCATGTGAGAAAATTGAATAAACAAATTTAAGTATGTGCAATCAAATCAATAATGATTTAATAAATTATTGTGATTAAAAGTTAATTATTTTATTATGTTCTTTAAAATTTATATGATATTGTTATAAATATGAGCAATTTAATGATATGTCTATAAATATGTTTAATGTTTCATATGACATTGTTGGAACCCTTAAATCACCCAAAATTCTAAGGGTCATATTTTTTGATTGCGCATTTTTTAACCCATAATTCCTTATAAGAAATTTTTTTGAACTTCAACATTGTCACAATTATCTTCCTCCTATTGAGATCAAGAAAAAACAATGTGAGAGGGATACAAAAGGTTATTAGTAGTGGGAGTTGATGTGGTAATTAATAGGTCACAAATTTATAAAAAAAGGAATATCATATGGAATATTATCTAAAATTAACAAGGAAAGGAGAAATATATGTCCTTTCTAGAGATAAAAGGGGAGATCCATTAGTGATGATGATATGAGGGATATATTACTTGATCAGAGATGAAAAGTATTTGATTATCTACCATGTTGAAAGAAGCGCCGAAATCTAAAACTCAAGATGTACTAAAGTGAGAAATTGCAATTGAATACAAGGAGAAATTTACTTTAAAGATAGATGTAGCTACCTAGGAGTGGTATAATAAGCAATTAATGACATTATTCTCAAGTGAGATAAACCATTCCAAAATAAAGGTCAATATAATTAATTGGGGGTAGTGGTGGTGACATACTAAGATACTAGAGGATAACTTGTTCTTCTTTCTAGAATGAGGGTAGGCTGATTAGTACTATGAAAGTGCTTACAAGGTGGAAAGGAATTTCAACCATAATCAACTCCAAAATTGTGACCACCATAAGCATGATTACCCTGGCAACCTTTTATACCAACGATAATAATGTTTTATTCATGAATAGAACAAGATGGAGCAGTGAGCTCACTATCATGGAAAATTCAAGAAAGTATTATAAATATATTGTGAACAATATAATTAGCTACTAATTGAACTTGAATATATGATAATTGTAAATATTATTATATTTTATGTGTTAATTTGTCAGTGAAAACGTGTCGTTTTAGTTGTGTTTGTATAAGAAAGTACAGGAAATGGGCAAACTTTTTAAGTATGATACAATGACATGGTGTCAGACACAATACTGCCGCGGTGCCATCATTGACATTGTTGG